GGGAGGAGAGAAGGATGGAGAAAGAGATGGGAAGGAAGGAAGGGGAGGGGAGGAGAGGGGAAGGGAGGCCTTGGTTTGAATTCCTAATGCCACACACACACACACACACACACAAAAAAAAAAAAATCAAAACAAATAAACAACTAGGAAATACTGCAGAACTATAGAAAAGACAGATCCTTTAACACAGAAACTGCATATAAGCACTCTGGGCCCTGAACCTCGGCTCTGAGAATGGCAGTTGCTATGGAAGGCAATGGAGAAGCAGGTGACCTTGATTTTATGTGAAGACAAAAAACATGTCCTAAACACCAACTTGCTATTCACATAAGCCCACAGGCCAGCACGAGAGTGAGCTGGAGTCCTGCGAAACCCTTCCCTGGGCCATAGGTTACTGGTCTGTAAAGTGAGGTTAGCTCCGTTCGCCCTACCTAACCTGGAGAGATGCTACAACATTTAGATAAGAGAATGGATGGGAAAATACTTTGTAAATGGCGCAGTGCTATAATTATGAGTGATTTTCATAAATAGCATTAATTATAGCAACGAGTAACTATAAATTAATAGGAATAATATGCCTATTGTTAATTATTCTGCTTCTTAAGGGAAGCATCATTCGTTAAGTATTCCCTTGGGGTATCTGGAAAAAGATGGGACGTAAGCAGGTCTTCAGTATCTGCTCTTCACCACAGCAGAAAGCATGTCAACTGTGAGCGCAGCGTCCAACCACAGAGACTCAAAAGTCACTCAATTACCCTGAGCTATACAATGAAACAAGTCATTACGGAGGGCAACCAGCCCACGCTTGGAGACCTTCAACTGGTTTCTGGAGCCTTATTTTCTCCTCTCACTGGGATCGGTCCCCATTTTCGGTTTCTCAGATTCCCCTGGTGTAATTTACTACCAGGTCTCAGACTCATGCTGCAGGATTTCCATGAACAGCCACCCCCATGCTACTCTGCCTTAGGATAATAGCTTTGCTCCACACTGTAATCCCCAGTGAGAATAAGAACAGAACGCGTTCTCACTCTCAATTAGCTCCTTTATGTCTTGGTTTAAATAACTGAAGCTCTTCTCAAGCTTCCACGCCACCCCTTTCCTTGGAAAGCTCCTTCGCTGTCTCAGTATCATTTCATTGGTGGAATTTTTTTTTTTTTTTGCCTGCTCAGTACACTCAGAAGGCAGGGCTAGCATGGCATGTGGTGCCAGGGATTGAACCACGCTTCCCTGTGCCTCCCTAAGCTTGCCTAATGCACACTTTGGACCGCTGAGCTTTCTCGCTGGCCCAGGAAAATCTTGTTATACTTCGTACTTTAACTGCAATGCTAGAAACCAGCCCTGTAACAAAACCACAGAGTTCTACAGAGGTACCGACGTGAGTTCTCCAGCACAGTCGCTCTGCCAGTCACCTGTTCCTGGCTAACTTCGCTCAGTGCACTCTCTAGGTATCACAGGAACTCTAATAAGATGTTCATTGTTACAATGAGAGTTTCCACACTCCACAGTCCTTCTTTTTGAATTTCATTACTTATTAATTAATTAAATCTTAAGAAAAAAAACTAACAAAAGTAAAACATTTCAAAATAAGTTACAAGGAGAATTATATTCCTAACTAGAAAGATTGTACTGCCTTACCTTGCATTCTGCCAAACAGAAAGTTTGTGCATAGGTCATTTATTGTAGAACTAAATTCTAAGACTTAGTAGTAAGGTAATGGTACTATGGTATTGGACAGATTAAATAGGTTGGATTGTGCAAAACAGGAGCACCAGTGCCAAGGTGTCACATGGAGATAGTCACTAGGGTAGGCACCTAAGTCTCCACTGTCCTCGGTGCTCTCTGGGGCACCCTGCAAAACATCCCTTAGATCTCTTCCCCTGAGGGATGGAAAGGTGGATTCCTTAGTATTATTACTATGACAAAGGACAAGATAATGCTGACTACTATTCTTATTTTAAAGACACAGTTCTCCGTTGGCTTAGGTTTGCTACAGAGATTTGCAACTCCGTCCTAC